CAGCGCAGACGGTAGATGAGGCTACACGTTAATTGTTAACCTGCTGTTGCTTTGCTCTTCAGTTCATAATGATCTTATTTATTTGTTGCTACTTAGTTATGACATAATTTATGAAGCACTACTAGCTACACGATGTCATCATTTATCCGACGTCGAAGCTCCCGATAAATAACAATGCCATAATCGGGAGCCTGCCAAGAACCATTGGCTGCAAGTGATTGGTGACCTCTTCATATCAATAGTGCAAGATTGTTGAACGGTCACGGCTTACAAGGTGGATCGGATCAGTCGAAGGACTGATGAGCTTTGGTGACAGAGAACTTATGAACATTCGTAAATCTGCAGTCGTATTACGCTCCAAGAACTAAACGAGAATAAAGTGCAGACTTAGACCACAGTTTGAGGGCACTGATCTGGATGTACACACACCTCCCTCGGCTAAGAACACACCCGTGAACAGCATTTGATCCAGTATAGCAAGTTGATCGTGTTAGGGAGGTTGGTGTGGTGCACATTTCTGAAATCTAGTTTGAAAATTTTCAAATCTAGACATTTATGGAAGTATCTGACGATACACAAGACATTCCAAGGACTACACTTTCAAAAGCTGATTTCCGATCAAAGACCTATTGTAATTTTCACACATTTTGGTAATACGGATGGCCCGAGATCCAATACATCGGACCCGATGTGCTGAACCCCTCCGATACGGTAAGAAAAGATAGCTATCTCGGGCCGGATATGCCACTGGGCACTCAGAATGAAGGATGTGCCAGAATTGCCGACAGCAAAAGTGATCTTCCCGAAATCATTTGCTGGCACACCTCCTATCAACGATTATGCCAAATCTAGCTGTCATAGCGATCGTAATATCGTTTTACATGACAATCGTGCTGCACTATGCATACACTTAGTGGGTTTTTACTCCTCAATAGCCTCTACTAAATTCGTCCGCAGTCACGGAAGAGATGCTTAACTGGGAATGACGCCTCACAGATCATTAAGTCCCTCTGTCTGATCAAACTTAGCTAAATCGGACCTACTTACCCTAGTCTCTATCCGTTTTATTTTGAATCGGCCCCCGGGATAAGCCAGCAAATTGGGCGGCAAATTGATGAAAACCACAATACATGTACCAGTAAAACTGACGATGACTGGCATTAAAATGCCTTCTCTACGAAGCACGAACTTCGATCAGTCGGAGTTGACTGTATGAAAGATATCTGAGGGCACGATCTTACATCCCACTTTCGTGGTGACGACTTTAGTCGCATACTAGATCGTCTTTGACTTAGCTGTGAATACTATCATTTGCGTCAGTTCCAAGGCCACAAACAATTTGTCAACAAATGATTTTTATAGTACCAAACCAACCTATACATTTCTTCTAAGCTGATAAGGGCCGCAAAATAACTTGTCAATATGAGCAAGCTATCGTGAGTCGTCAAATCCGCCTCAAACAATGTGGAGAAACAGATCAAATCACAAGGTGGAAAAACAGTTTTTGAAAAATTGAGCTCTAAAATAAAATGTATTCGCTTTAGAAATTAGTGGTGCTGTCCCGCGAGCTTATGTTGTATACAGGTTTAGAAAAGGGTTAGCCCTCAGGGCGAATTTTGCCTCATTTAATCTGAACATTTAAAATTTAAATCCAGCGGCGATAGCACGACTTTGTAGTTTTTTTTTAAAAAGATTTTATACTGAGATAGAAAGCAACGAAGTGCTGTCTAGCATAGCCCAAACAGCACTTCGTTGCTTCCTATCTCAGTATAAAATATTTATACGGTAACAATGCCCTCAATATCGCACTATTGGTATACAGTAACTCTATTAATCTCGCAATGCGACAATAGTACCGTAAACTTTATGTGCCAAAGAGTGGCCCCAAGTACATGTATGCATAGTATACGTATGCGGGGTCATTCGTTGGCACATAAAGTTTATGGTAGTGTTGTCGCAATGCGAGATTAACAGAGTTACTGTAAACATATAATGCGATATTGTGGGCGCTGTTACCGTAAACCAAGGCCTCAGTGAGACAGATTCAAAACGTTTGATTACTTTTTGAAATGTAAACAAACTTTGCACGTTTTACTCGGTAAAAAAGAATTCTGGCCACAAAACGAAACATATGGAGATTATTCGTTTTTTTCCTTCAAAACTTGATATAATCAAAAGAGATTTACAATTCAAACATTACTAGTGAGGTGGAGTGCCACCTCTACATTCCTGCTAACTGTGTTTCCTTTCCTTGATTTGGTGATTATGGTATATACGCGCGTCGTTCTGACTCAGCGGCTAAAGCCGTGGTTTACTGTATTACCTGTACAAGCACTGTAATACCGAAATTGCCTGCTTTCATTACTGTTCAAGTAAACGTCGAACATGATCAAATCGTTCATATGATGTAGGCTCAAACATGAATCTATAGCTCATTCGTCGACTGGGACTACATCGGGTATAGGCATTATTGCTTCTCCGCCAATTCTTACGATGCCACCAATTTGGTTGTCTGCTGTGGTCGTCGCCGTCTCCTTGGTTTCAACGCCCCTTGCAATCGATTTTAACGTCGAGAACGATGTCACACAAACCGCTGGTGTCGTTGTCCCTGGAGGCGAGACACAGGCTACGACTTTCACTCCCGGGTCCGGGGGTTTCAAGAACATCAGGGATGCCAGCCAGCTGAAGCAGACGGAATACAGCATGATGATCCCCTGTGGTAGTGGCTGGTCTCAACCAACGACGGCAGACTTGCCCTCTGTGTGGGCACCGACAAGTGGTGGTAGCGGTAATCAAGACTGGAGGCCGGCACGCGGCCATTCGAGTGGAATGGGTGACCAAAGCTGGACACCTTCGTCTAACACGGCTACCTCGTCGGGTGAGTATGAGGGCTCTGCTCCAGCGGCGACACCGTCTTTGAGAAGCGGGGCAAGTAACGTTGGTGAGGAAGTGGGATCGTTACAGACACAGCTTTCTGCTACAACTTCATCTTCGAATACACCGCCGACATTAACATCAGCAAAGCAAGAAGAACTGCCTGCTGCCCAAACTTCCAGTAACACTAGCAGTCGCGTGCACGCCACGTTCGGAACCGTAACGTCCAAGCCCGGCGAATGCATTGTCGGCGATCCCGACACGTATATTTCTGCCGAGGATCTTACGTGGATCTGGAACAACCGAATCAAGGACGAGGTCATGGCTTACAATAACTGGATCATGGACCATCTTGTGGCTAACAATGGTACTATCAACTACTGTGTCCGCTGGGATAGCAGCACCACCAAGCTCACCAAAGAGATTGCCCAGAAGCTCCAGCCTATGTTGACGCGTCAACACGCTGCGTGGAACCGCTGGTTGATCGGCTACGACTGCTGGCCCTATGACGAGATCAAGGTGAACATTGTGGGATTTGCTGCGAAGAAAGCCTCGGACTTGGGATGGTCGGATAGCTCGATGGGAAAGCTCTACATTGGCGACCTGGACAAGGACGGCGCTCCTCAATGTCCCGAGAACTGCTATCGATCGGTGGATGGATCGCCCGGAGGATGGTCGGAGTCCAGTGGATGCGATGGCAAGCCATTTGATATCTCGCTATGGCCCAAACAAGGCCTGGGTGGTGGCTGGGGAACCTACTGGGGTCAGCAGGTGAACCTTGACGATATGCTGGAGCATCTTGACGACGACGAGCTCGAGATTGTCTCGCACGAAATGGGTCACGGTTTTGGGCTCCCGGATTTCTACCAGGAGCCCAAGCCCGATAACTTTCCACCGACTCTTATGGATGCATTTACATCCGTGAGTGTGAGAGACACAGACGGCTGGATGCTGCGTCGCGTCCTGGAGCACAAGAAGTCCAACTACAATTTTTGAGTTTCCTCTTTAGGATTTTTACACTAATCTGAACGGATGAGTGTTCGAACCTCGCCCCAGATCTGATCTGAGATCACCCCCGTAGATCCAACGCGGTTTGTAGTGTCGTAGCAAAAAAGTTGTGATCTCCAGTAAATTGGTAATCTTCACGGCATATTTTGCAAGGATTAGTTGTAATTTACAGAGGTCGCAAATGGTTAACCGCACCCGTTCGAATAAGCTTGGCCGTAACCACGGACGAGCATGATTAGCCGAGAAGTGCCC